ATCGAACATGCCCCTAGTCGATGAGCAGTACAACAGGAGTTTTTGAAAAATAGAATGCCAGTACTAAAAAAAAAAAAAAAAAAAAAAAAAAAAAAACGATCGAGTGCAAAATTTCGAATACTCGCTCGTTTGAGATTTTCGAATGAATACTCGAATATTCGAACTAATCGTTTCACCCCTAGTAGAAATGCAAAGGATAGGTAAGAAACTGCAATGCAATAACCCGGCTCAAGCGGACAAGTCCACTTGAGCGGTAATGTAAACTCTCTAATAAACTCAACTCCACAACTCTACTGCACTCAACTGCCACACTCTACTCCAGTCAGCAAACTTATACCGCTGAAGTCTATATAGGAAGCAGCTGCGAAGAGAAGCATAGAGCAGGCAGCAGCAAACAGAGCGCGAGTAAAGTCAGCAGGAGCGAGTGGAACGTTGGTGCAAGGAAACTGTAACACTATAAACGTGCAATGGAAACAGGCAGATCGCGCAGACGGAAAGACAAGACGATCGATTACAGTTCTGTGGTAAGGGCAAGTCTAGGCAACACGTTGAGGAGTGTCAGCAGGATGTGACTATAGTAATGATTAGGAGTAGAACATATCTAAACACATGACTCCATCTTCTAGTAACGTACATCATGTGTACCTATGCTACTGTTCGAATTATTATGCATAGTCATGGTTTCAGCATTAGGGTACATAACTGCTACATGTAAATGGTTACGAGCATTACTGTGTACACAGGGTCATCACAAAGGCATTACAGCGATGGAAAAGGCTAGGGAAAACAAACAAACATGAAAAGCCAGTGCGTTGGTATAAAATACAGGCAGTAAACGTACAAGCAGATATCACGAGATATACTGGGGTAAAACAACAGAACAATGTGAGCAAGACATCCACTAACAGAGAAATATCTAATAAAGCAGACAATTCCTATTCTGTCATCAGTCTGTACTGTGTAGTCACTGTAGCCGGAGACTACTAACGAAAACGATACTTTACAAAACGTACACGTAACTTGATTACCAGCATTGCCGCAACAAGTCCATCCTGACAAGTATCCTGTGCTCGTATTACTACAGATTAGGCCATTACCAGCAGATCAGTAATGGGCTTCAATGGACTATTGTAACTTGATCACCCGCATCGTACAACGATACATACCAGCATAGGTTACTGGTTGGTATGTTGCGCAACACTTCAGTTACACCGGTACGATGATGCAGTCCGGTCAGGCTATGATCATCATGGTTCAAAGTCAATGTGATCAAATCATTGCTCTGCCAGGGCTGGCCTAGAGCACCACCAACACGATAGGTATGAGCACCGCGACCATACCAACCGTACACTTCACCCTGTGTGCGATGTACAGTAGACAGTACTGGACTAGACGATGCACATAAGCATACATACATATAGGCATACTGTATGACATCTATACGTACCTGTATAGCACTACTACCGCACTGTTCCTGTATCGGTGAGCTACACACTGAATGCCACCCGTTGGACGACTTACTGATGGTTCGGTTGTGGTTCCTGATCTCAATATCGCCATGACAGCGGGTGATATCAAACACAGGTACAGGTGCCGGCTGAGCAGGTGCTGGTGGAACAACACTGAACTTCACTCCACTACTTTTCAGAGGGACACCGGCAATCGTAGTGGAAACAGCGTATTCGCCGGCTGCAGCAGGACGGCATTTAGTCACCAGATGTCCAATAGATGATTGCTGTAGGGGCTCGCACTGGACTGTCTTGCCGTCCGCATTTGTCACACAAACTCCTACATCGATCTTCCTCAGCTGGTCTTGGCTGATAGTAGCAGCATCGGAAAGTTGCTCCATCTCTATGTCGATCTCAACATCACTGCCCATCTTACGATTGCCTGAGCAACGCACTTTGTTCTTTGCTGCGTCAACACAAAGACCAGCTTTGCTGATGGCAGCCACAAGATCACGCGTGTCGCTTGCCGCAAAGACGACGCCACTCACAACACATGCCTCAGCATCACTCTTGCCAACCTCCGCTGCACCGTTCAAGGCTGTCACTAGCCAAGACGACATGCGCACAAAATCAACACTGTCCTGGCAAGCATCCAGCATGCCTCTCACCACCTCTGTTTGCGACACACTGCCCTGCAGCCTAGCGAGTTGCTTCTCCAGAGGTCCCAGTGCCTGACTTCGAAGATCATCAAGTTCATTCAGAACACTGGTTTCACGTTTCTGAATAGCTTCTACCAGAGAACGGAAAAATAGCACGGCCTCTTCTGATGCAAGCTCTATCTGATCATGGAGGTTACGAATGGAGGACTGTACTTTCTGAATGGAGCTCTCCAGAACGCCATCACTCTCAGACACACAGCTCAACAACAAATCATTCACTGATGCTCTCATCTTCTCTGCTGCAGCATTGATAGACACAAGATCTTGTTTGTGTGGCTCATGTTTTCCAGTACCAATGCATCGCTCACATAACAGCTTCTTACACTTTGTGCAGAACTTGGTCAGGATACTGCTTGGGTGCAGTGCACAGTGATGCTGTGACTGAGTAGCTGAAGCAGCAGTAGTGGTCTCAGCAGTCTCAGTGCCTGCTTCAGTCAATGCAAGTACCGCATGACCATGTGTAGCTCGGGAGATCTTGTGTCCTTCAGTGTGAAAACTACACAGATGACTGCGGCATGTTGCACAGCGCGAAACAGCCACTTTTACATCCATACATTCATCACACGACACTGCAGACTTCTGCTCTGCACCACCACCCTCTACATTCGCATAACTATCTGGCAAAGACAGCATGGGAGAAAGTCCAACCTGCAACGGTGTTGAAGCCCTACACTTCGGACACGTAATGGAGCAATCTTCATCAACATTCTGCTCAAGGCACGATATGCACAGAGAGTGGAGGCACTTGACCAGTTTAATCCTCTTGTTTTCACAGCCACACGCTACACAGCTCACAGAAGGCATGTCTCAAGCAGGAATTATTCTCTTGTCCAACACACACTGTTTCTTACTAATCGTTTTCTCAACAATCAAGCTGGCAAAGGGACACTGCAACCTCTCTGGGATCACAAAAGCAGTACGAGGAATCTCCAGAAGAAAATAATACTCGCACTTGGCGGTGGACACAGAGATAAATGTGGCGTGTTAGTAGTAGATGGAGCGCAGCACATCATGCTTGTGCAGTGTAGGCTACATTCACATATATACATGCAGACAGTTGTCCTGTCATTGGATGTACTTTTTAGAGACTGCATGACAAGCTGAGCTGGCCCCAAGACTGGCCAGGTCTGTCATGACAGGTAGCACAGACTTTGCTGTCAATGTACCTGCACCCACCATGGCAAGCACATGCCCCCCCCCCCCCGGCATACTGGCATAGTTCACAAAACACTATACAGTTATCAGTATACAGTGTACACTGCAGCATACTGTAAATTAATTTATTTGACTGGCAGGTATCTGATTTGCTTGGAATACTCTTTTAGCTACATGTATGCTAGCAGTATACCGCACTAATGACAAGGTTATGCCTAAATTATGCCAGTTGATAAACCAAATGGTCCCGAAACGAGGCCGTAGGACTTTTTGAGCCCTTTTCTGCTTTATGCAGTGATTATGCCGAACAATATTCTGGGTCGGATGCCTTTTTCAGATAAAGTTGGGCTGTGCTCAAATTAAACCTTTTGCACAATAAAGGTCACGTGATCCGAGACGCGGCATCCTCTTCGATTATAGGGCTTGAAAGTGCTACGTCACAGCATAGCAACAATTTCAAAAATTCAAAAACTGGATCCACTTGGATCCAGTTTTTGTATGGATCCAAGCACATTTCAAGCCGTCTTACTCACAGCAAGGTGATGTAACCAGTGAAACTGACTGATTTGGCTACTGGGGGCGGGGTTACAACTGGTGGCGAAGTAAAAGTCACCCCTGCATACGACATGAGTGGGTCGCTATGCACCCACATACTGAGGCAATAGCAAAGTCACACCTTAGTGGATCCAAAATAGAGATCTGATGTCAACTTACTACTCCCTGGCCGTTTTTGACGTCTTCACTTTCAAGCCCTATTGTGCAGAGTATCAGTTGTTGAGCAGGGCGAGACACTGTAGATTTCCATTTGGAGATGGAGGAGAGTGTTTTGGGTGGTTTGCCATCGATGGCTGTGGAGTCCGTGGAAGAACTGCCAAATGAAGAATGATGTGAGAGGGGAACAGAACATTGCTATGTATGCGATATGATAGTCTGTCACATCGTGCACACAGCCACAGCTCAAACTCGGATGACTTTCTCCGCACATCAAAGTGATGAGGCTGTGTCTTTCTGCAGTTCAACATCAGCAGCTTGAGCAGCGCCAGCAAGCAGTCGATCTTCCTTGCATGGCGAGAGCAGGGATGGGACATGCCTTTTCTCAAGCTCCAGAGTCCCTTAGCAGGACGGTTCGTGTCCTCGCAAAGGCAAGGATGAAAGTCACCATCGACAAAATGTTCCGAGCACAACACTGTCGATAATATCACAGCAAACTGAGGCATTCTTCTCGCCGGCTAGCCTGGATTCAAGAGTGTCAAATGTCAGTATCACCAGAGAACGCATGGAAAGACAAGTGGGGTTTCTTGGACTAGTGACGACGGTTGCTGCAAACAAAAACCAAACAGTGGTTCTCGGAAAGTATTTAGTAACTTCTTTCTTCAGAACTGAAAAAATCAAGTGAAAAAATGCTGGGAAGTAACACACGCATGAACAAATAAGTTCAGTCGTAGGGATCGTGAAAACACAGGAAACTTGATCACGTTCTGCACCAAACTATGCATGCTGGTTGCATGCCAATTGTGCAGTGCGTACGCAGCATGCCCCGTCTCGGACCCTCTGGCTTATGGTGAAACAGTTCTAGAATGCGGGCATTATCCGCTGATGACTATCTGTCAGTCTTTCTACCACCACTACCAGACTCCTCCCGGCCTTCACACACTTCACACACAACCGTATTTACTTACTTGAAGAGCACCGGAAATAGGGTTTCCTGGTATGAATTCAGAGGCTTCCTGCAGTGAAAAAGCAATCAGAAAATACACATAACCGTATTATCTCTAATATAAGCACGGTCCTTTATTTTTTCAATGTACCTCCGCCCCGTGCTATTAGTGGAGACGTTCCTTTATTGGAGACTGTTCCATTATTATTTCAACCTCATTTCAGAGGTTGGTGCACAGCGCGCGATCCGCGCGACTGACCATGATGACATGCACATGTGGTACTACACATATTCGTTACAAAGCACGGAGAAGTGTAAAAACAACAGAAAAATGATAAAGGCACACATTTTGATAATCCAGGGGATGGCCTAACATGTACATGACTGTACATGCAATGTGCGTACGTATACTACCGTAGATCTAAGGTGTCCTTTATTGGAGGCCCGGGTGGTTTTCAGATCACTTCACAGTGAGCACTTCACAGTGTGCTTATAATGGATACTGAGCACTTTATTTTTTGAATGCCGCCCCAAGGTGTTCTATTATTCGAGACGTGCTATTATTGGAGACTGTGCTTATATTAGAGATAATACGGTACACGCCAAGAAATGAACGCCCAGAGCCCGCACTATCATTGCTATGTTCGAGAGCTGTTTTAATATCCTCTCCAAATTTTAGGAGGCTCTCCAAAGCTCTCCAAGCCCTCCAAGCTTCAGAGGTGGTTGAAACTTGGAGATTCCCGCGGTTTGGGATCCGGGCATGCGAACTAGGCTAAAAGCCACGTGTTGATCATGAGTGTACGCATTTCCCTTTTCGCACACGTACAGCGCATACTTTATTCGTGGCACTCAAGATCGCGGCCCCTATGGCGCTTCATTTTGCTTGACATGTGAAAAATATCTCCGAATTCTTCGAGACCCGTTCTTGAATTATCCCAGATTCTTCGACTTCTCTTTTCTTCTTCTTCTAGAAGCTAGAGAATTTAAGAACGCACCCTTATCTACACACACAAGCTAAGAAAAGAAGAAAACAGGGAGCCAGTTGATCAGGAGCACATACATCGTGGCAGCATATGAGTATGCGCAGGACAAAACAAAATCAATGATACACGTGACAAGGAGGTAAGCATTCCATGGTGCACAGAAGACTGCACGTGCAACAAAAACAATTCAACAAAGTCAAAAGTAACACACTACAAAAATAAACACAAAAGAACCATACGCACAAAAGCTGAGTCTTCAGGCTGAGTCTTCAGGCTCGGCGGACATGGTACCTTGCCATTATCCAGGCGAAGCTGTGCTACGCCGCAAACTCTTTCTACCCCCCTCTCACTGCTTCGGGCCCAGTACGGCTTGAGAGATCAGCGAAGGCTGGCATCCGCATAGTCTTGCGATTGAATGACCCCGTCGCTACCCAGCCCCTGTGCGAGAGACTTCGGTTATCCACCATTGAGCAGCTCTGCGGTCAGAAAGTCCTTGTCTTCGTCTTCCATTGTCTTCACGCTCTCACCAGTCAACTGTTTTCGTCATTCTACACACCTATTGCCCCCGATCTGGTCGACCACGAACGCAGAGCTACCCGTGGACAGATGACGCGACTTCTGCACGTCCCTTTCCTTCCAGGGCCTGTGTGACGATTGATCGTCCATTCGCTTCCGGGGTGCCATTCTGTGGAATGAGTTGCTTCCTGATGTTCGCCTCGTTGTGCGCAAAGATGAATTTAAGTTAAGGGTCTGAATTTATAATCTATGTAAATACGTGTAGCGTTCTGTGTCACAATTATCCAGTACAATAGTCCAGTACAATAGTCCAGTTGGTAAATTTCTTATTACACAAGAGAGAGTTAGGAAGCTTTGTTACAACTCTGAGTTTCACGTATTACTACTATCATCAGGCAACTGATGGATCCAAAACGGGCAGCCAGAACATAAGGGGGAGCAAGGTGGGAAATTCTGAGGGTATCATAGGCGACGCGTGTCATAGCGCAAGAGGCAGGTGCAGAAGTTGCCAAGTCTTCAGACTTGGGGCTATGCAGCAGCAGTTCCGCCATGAATGATATACTTGCAAGTAGAATAGAGCTGGGGACTTAAATGCCAAATCCACACATGCCCACACCATTACACACACATACACCCACACTCTCTCCCTTTTCTCACACACACATACACTCACACGTGCGTACACACACACACACACACACACACACATTCTTTCAATCTCTCTCTCACACACACACATTCATTCTCTAAATCTCTCTCTCTCACACACACACACACATTCATTCTCTAAATCTCACACACACGCTCCCACCCACACACACACACATTCTCTAAATCACACACACACACACACACACACACACACACACACACACACACACCTCAGACCTCAGACCTGCCCATCGCGGAAGCGATGATAGCAAACAACTTGTGCTGGGATTACACCATTCAACAGCTTGCAAGGCTGATGAATTGACCGCCACGATTTTAGCCTGGTATCCACCACACAGCTGATTGAAGTGACTTTTTCTGGCCAGTGAATCCCTATTTTTCATTTTCCTGACTTTTCTTTCATTCTCCTGGGTGGTTACCAACAGCCAGTGTATACCGGAGTATGTGGTGTGGTGTGTGTGTGTAGAAAAAAAAAAAGAAAAATAGGGATTCACACACACACACACCGTGACACACACACACACACACACCTGGTCCTGGTCCTGGTAAACACTGCCATTACGGTCACGTGTCCCCTCGCGGGGCCGACAAAATCGGTTGTGGCAACCAGGGAGTCGTAAAAGCCCGGGAGAGGACACGGCACACATTCCTAGAAAACATCTTTGCCTCGCGCTGCCGGGGAACGCTGCCAGGGAACGGTGTTGCGAGGCAAGGAAATTATTATTTTCGAAAATTGTGATGTCTTCTTGAAATACTAATTGGGACATTCTCCGATTTCTCTTAGAGCACGGAGACGATTGCTCCGTCGAGTCTTCTGATCTCTATTTTCATCCTCAATTCTTCCAGCTGCCTCACTCATTCTCTCTCAGTTTATCGAAGTTAATTTATTCTGAGGCGATGGAAATGCAAGATAAGTCCCTAATTGTACTTCACTTTTATTTGAGTTGGGGTGAACGAAATGAGATTTGTGGAAAATGACGCCACTTCCCGTGTTAGCCGCTGGTCGTATCATACAGCCCATATTCCATTGCAGGTGATGGGCGAACGTTCGTGTCGAGATCCGCTGAGCTTCCTCGTACTCGTGGAGTTGAATTTGTGGCAGAAATTGCACTGAATTGCAGTCAAATGGTTGTGAATGAAACGAGATTTGTGGAAAATGACGCCACTTCCCGTATTAGCCGCTGGTCGTATCATACAGCCCATATTCCATTGCAGGTGATGGGCGAACGTTCGTGTTGAGATCCGCTGAGCTTCCTCGTACTCGCGGAGTTGAATTTGCGGCAGAAATTGCACTGAATTGCAGTCAAATGGATGTGAATGAAACGAGATTTGTGGAAAATGACGCCACTTCCCGTGTTAGCCGCTGGTCGTATCATACAGCCCACATTCCATTGCAGGTGATGTGCGATCGTTCGTGTTGAGATTCGCTGAGCTTCCTCGTACTCGTGGATTTATGAATTTGTGTCAGAAATTGCACTGAAATTGCAGTCACGTGGACTTCTGTGCGTGTGTTGTGAGTGAATCGCAACGGCTCCCTTCCTTCAGCATCGTCAAAACGCAACATAGAGCATTATTACGCACTCGTTCCATGATTCATGATATTGCCTGAATTCTTTTAAAAACAATCAATGTGTGTTCCCTATCTATCTACATTGTACATGGTTACAGGTCGTTATTTATAAATCTTGATAATTTCAACACTTTTCTACTCGTATACTGACTTTAGCCGTTTAGGAAGCGGAAGGCTCAGCCTCCAGGTTGGCCAGAAAGGTTCTCAGTGAATCTAACTGAAGTCTTGGCGAGTGTACAAAAGGTAAACCTATCATTTGTACTTCATAACGGAATTGTGCACAAAAATGCGCACGCACGCGCGCACACACACACCTTGAACCTTGAAACTGCCACCTAAAGGTGATGCAGTGCCTCAAAGAGGCAAGGAGGGCAGAGTTACTTCTTGCATTTGTGTTGAGCCAGGTACTGGAGACGTGTGAACTTCCGAGAGCAGGTCGGGCATGGGATGGTGCGGCGCTCGGAGCCAGAGCTGCATGTTCTGCGGTTGCAGTTGCAGTTGTGCCGGCGGTGCCCAGCTTTGCTCCTGGACACTGGACACTGTTGCGTGCCGACATACGTCGCCTTGAACAATTCCACAACCGCTGCGTTCGTGTCATTCTCGGCATCTCGCGTTCCAAACAGTGGGAGGGCCACCTGTCATCTGCCTCGCTGCATAGAATGTGCGCTACAGAGCCAGTTGCTGACATGGTTGCCCGTCGACGGCTGCAGTGGCTTGGCCACATTGCCAGGATGGACGACCACCGGCTTCCAAAGGCAGTGTTGTTCTCGTGGCTCCATACTCCACGCCCTGCTCATGGCCCCAGGCGTCGATGGCGTGATGTGGTACGCGATGACCTCAAAGCGTTCGGTCTATACACCGGTTGGTACGACCTCGCAGCTGAACGTGGCGAGTGGATCCAGTCCATCTCGGATGCTATTGTTGCACGGCGTTTACGCCTTGAAACGACAGCCAAGTCAGTGTGTTGTGCGATCTGTGAGCGACTCTTCGCCAGTGAGAGCGGACTTCGGCGGCACAAATGCAGGGAAGAGCGACTGAAGCCGATCCATGAACAGGCCGGTGCTGTGTTGTGCGAAACGTGCCATCGTTGGTTTGCTAGCCGAGGTGGATTTGCTGTGCACAGCTGCTCTCCCAGTCTTGGTGACGCTCTAGTTCCAGAGATTGTTGCACCTCGCCCACCTGATTGCAGCCAATGTCATTACCACTGCCACACCTGTGACACACACACACAAACACTGTACAAACACACACAAAAGTACAAGCACATGTGCACATACACACGCCTCCCCCCCCCCCCCCCGCCCCCACACACACACACTCAACTCCCCA